ATCTGGTGTTGTATCTCATTGTCAATACTGGCCTTTTGGGAGGGGTAACTGTCAAGATATGGAAAGTGCTCAACATATTCTAGAGTCCCACTTTTAACATATATGGGTGGAATATTTGACTGACTGGGTCTGGTCGAATACAAGATTCATTTTGGCAACATTCAGGAATAGACCAAGACTATCATATGGAGAATTGAAGAGATTGAAAGTTGATTGCAAATCTAGTGCAGAGAAAGCAATAATACTGCAGTCATCATATATTGTGGGTTGTGTATCTCTTTGGTGATCAATTTAGTTTTGGCATGGAAAGGGTCAAGTTTAAAGAATTTTTCAGCTAGGGTGTATTTCATGCTCTCATTAGAGACCAGTTGATCTTTGGTGAAGTGAATAAATATTGTTAGGTTGATTGTAAAGAATTGGAGGCTATAACATAGCCTTGCTTGACACCAGTCTGATTTCAGATCTCCTACTCAAGACAGCTGCAGTCATGTAGCAGTTGCAAGATTGTGATGAAATTTCTTGGACAACCAAATCTCTGGAGTACAATCCACCAACTTTGCAATTTATTGAATTGAATACTTTGGTCAAGTTCACGAATAAAATGAAGAGTTTCTGATATTGTTCTCCACATTCTTCATGGCAACAAAGACCATGTCAGAAGTCTCTCTGGAAGGTCTAGACTCAAGTATCTCTTGGAGGATTTCCTCAGCCATGGAAAATAAGCAATTCAGGAGAACACATGACAGTTTTCCTGCTATGGACAATAGGAAAATACCACAAAAATTTCCACAGTTTAATTTATTTCCCTTCCTTAAGACAGTTACAATATTTGCATTCCTGAAGACATGGATGGGAGAGAGGGTGGGAGGATGGGGTGTGATTCTATTTCCTCGCAAATCCACAGGATGTGTGCAAGCGGTTGTGATGTGAGCAAAACACCAACATTGCAAAGCTCAGATGAAATAATTGTTGCTCTTCATCCATCTCCCTGTTGATGTTAGTCCATCCATGGATTTTGATGGCAGACTTTTAGGGAATATCTTGAACAGTAGCAGGTGCTGCTGAGGATGCGTGGTTAACCATTGTTGAAAATGTTCTCTGTAATATTGACAGCGGTCATTATAATTCTTAAGAAGAGAGACACCAACCCATGAACAAAGATTTTGTCCATTGGACCTTGGTGTATAAATAGTCCTTGTGGCTGGAAACATGTTTTTGCATGTCATGACGATTAGTATACTATTGGATCTCTTGGGTTTCCTCTTCACACCAATATCCTTTATCTTTCAATTTTGTCTTTGGGCATCAGCGTTGGAATGTTTTGTCAGTCAGTACCAGCAGTTGTATATTTTATCACTTTTCATAGAATCCCTACAGTGTGGAAACAGGCCCTTCAGCCCAACAATTCCACACTGACCCTTGGAGCATCCCACCCAGACCCATCCACCTATAACCCACCTAAGCTACACATCCCTGAACACTATGGGCAATTTAGCATGGCCAATCCACCTAACCTGCACCAATCTGGATTTCAGATCTCCTACTCAAGGCAGCTGCAGTCACATAGCAGTTGCAAGATTGTGATGAAATTTCTTGGACAACCAAATCTCTGGAGTACAATCTACCTAACCTGCACATCTTTGGACTGTGGGAAGAAACCGGAGTACCCGGAGGAAACCCACACAGACACGGGGAGAATGTGCAAACTCCACACAGACAGTCGCCCGAGGGTGGAATTGAACCCCAGTCGCTAGTACTGTGAGGCAACAGTGCTAACCAGTGTGCCGCCCCTTGAACTAATCCTAACAACAATGATGCACAAACCTAATAGTGGGGACACTGTTGTTTTGTGCAACTGACTTTATTTGATCCTTTTATTTGATTTATATAGGGGTTAGTGTTCATGTTACATTAGCTCCATCCATCCTACTGATGTCACACACAGTCTGTTGGTAGAGGAAAGGTGCTCCACTTTCAGAGGCAGGAGATATGTCAGGACCAGCTTCTTAAGGTCATAGTAATCATGTCTGACCAAATGCTTCTGTACTTAAAACCTTCATGTTATCCAAGTACATTGGCTGTTTTGTAGATAATCAAATATGGAGTCTGCTCTACCGCTAATCACTATATAATGATCACAGTACAAATAACTATAATGAACAAATATACTACATAACAATCACAATACAAAGCAAAGACTAATAAGGATTGGTAACAGAGAACTAACCTCAAACAACCCCTTCTCAGTACCACCTACTGATGAAGGTAACAAATACCCCCAAACGTGGTGATTTGGAAAATGCCCCAGGCTGCAGTACCACAGGTCAGACCCCACCCTCTCATCCATAGAATCCCTGCAGTGTGGAAATAGGCCATCCAGCCCAACAAATCCACACCACCTCTCCAAGGAGTATCCCAGCCAGATTTATTCCACCCACCCCTATTACCCTGCATTTCCCAAGGCTAACCCATCCAACCTGCACATCGTTGGACTGTGGGAGGAAACCAGAGCAAACCCACACAGACACGGGCAGAATGTACAAACTCCACACAGACAGTCACCCAAGGCTAGAATTGAACCCAGGTCCCTGCTGCTGTGAGGCAGCAGTGCTGACCACTGAGTTGCCATGCCACCCCATGAGGGGAAAGAAAACCAGAAGACCCAGAAGAAATTTTTAAAACTTGAAGCAAGTAAGTTTACTACTTTAAAAATGTTATTGCTCTAGGAAGACACTATTAGTTAGCAGTGAAAATATGATTACTAAAAAAAAATAGCAGCAGTCATAGAAGCAGCAAAAATAGTCAAGCTCAGCAGTCTGAAAGCAAAACCTCATTCAGAAGTAGGTATGAAGTGCTGAGCCAGGAGTGCAGAAGAAATAGAGTGAAAAACCAACTCCATTCTGAAAATACAGAGATCTGACCGAAGGAGACTCTGCAGGGAGCAAAAGATGACTCCAGGAGTAAAATTAGATATCCCTAGGGAAAAGGGGATAACTTTATGACTTTAAGACCAAAAATGGGAGGTGAGGGAATGATAGAAAAGAATTCTCATTTCTTGAAATGAGTACCGCTGCCACCAAGATCAAGCTCCATGAAGTAAGGAACAGTGAAGGGGCTAGAAGAGAATTTTAGACCAAAGTTGCAGAATCAAGAAGGCCTCAGAATTCATTTAAACTGGAAAAGAGCACGTACAGAAATCTATAGAAAACGCCTAGAAAAAGAAGAAAAACCAAGAGAAACTAAAGATTTAAAAGAACAGGAACTTGGTAATTAAGCCATTATTTTGTTGGGAAGATTTATAAAACCTGCAGAGACGTTATTTAAAAATGTGTGTAGAAGAAAGAGCTTGCTGTTTTCTAAAAGGGTTTAGGAACTTTCATTATAGAGATCCTTTCATCATAATTTCGGTACATGCCAAACGTCTTCACACCCAATAAACACTTCAGAACTCGGTCGATGTTTTGATAAATAATGTAGGAAACGTGATGGTTGGAACGAATGTGTTCTTTAAAGACTAACTTGTTTTGTGAATATGAATTTATTGCTTCTGTTGCATTCACATCTGAGATTATCTGGTACTACTTTAACATCGGATTTATTTTTAAACAGTGACGATTAATAGTTGCGTTAGTTATTTGATGTTATATGGCATCTTAGATCATATCATTTGGAATACACAATGCAAATCTGAAAGTTCTGGCACATTTGACTTCTCTTTGCTCTTATCATGCGGTGTATTCCAGGGTGCCCTGTTCGGTACCTACAATTACTTTTGTGTTATTAGTTTTCATCCTTTTCTTTTTTGTTCTCGGAACACGCTCGTTTTTCCACGGATAATGTACAGTCCATCTCGCAGTAGTTACCGCAATTGCAGCTCGTCGATCGGTACAGTCCTTTTGGCGGCGGTTCGCTTTTAGCAAACTTAAACACAATGCTCTTGCACTAGTGACCTGCACCAACACGACTATATGACCTCGAATTAATTGCTAGTAACATCCACCTATTTAACGCTGCCCAGGGTACATATATTTTACAACAAGCATCAGTAACCTACTCACCCTAATGAACTGTAAAGTTTTCATAGGAGGGCAGAGATAACAGAAGCAGGATCATCAATCACGGGTGACCATAGCTCTGATCAATACTGCGTCGGTGAAAACCAACTGATTGCAAATAGTCAATGAGAATGTTCACGCAGTAATGGGCATAGAATGGGTATGCATTTCATTAACAAAGAAGGGGCGTTCTGTGTCTTTTCAAACGGAACTAGTTTCCAACCCGAAACATCTTTTTACAAAATGAGATATCCTCCCTTCCCCATTAAAATGTTGATGTAACATATTGTGGAAGTTTAACAAGAGACAACCAAACTCTAAAGCTGAGAATCTGGGCAGATGGTCAGAAACTGAAAAGCCGAGTCAGATCCTACTAAAGGAACGGCGGAGCATTCTCCGGGTTTCTGGTTAACCCCTTGTTGGCCTCACTGACATTCAGTGATGCGATTTGGGTTAATTACGTAGAATTTTTCTCCAAGACAACAGTTTGGTTCAATTGCGTCCAAATGTAATCTTTGAAATCACCGAAGAAGCCAAATTTGGGCAAGTGCTTCTGGTTTCTCGAAACAGTCAACCAACCATCTTCTACTGAGAACTATTCAGAGTACAATTTATAGAACAAAAAGTGAAATTCGAAAAGACCGGCTTGTTCTCTGTATCAGATTTTGCTTTTCTGAAATTAAAATGTATAAACAAATTATGATTAATAATAAGATGTTTCTTTAAAACAAACCTCTGAAATAGTCCAGCGGGCACGATTTTAGCGTAAAGCCTTCCTTCAAATTCTAGCATCAATTTGCTGTTGTTTTGCTGTGCAGGGCTGAAGCAAAGATTTCAGAATGGCAGGAATGACCAGGACCTGACAGACCCGTCCTCAGACACTTAACACTTCCATGGGCACACTTTAACAGTTACATTCTGGTTTGAAAACATTTCCACTGCAGCTGAATCAGATCTGCCGTTTATTGTGCACGTGTTTGAAATATTACTTAAAGCGTCACATTTTGGTGCACAGCTTAATAATTAAGAAGTAAATATGATCTCGAACACGGATGTCACATAATAGGATGGAATCATCGCTACAGCACAGAAGAAAGCCATTCACAACCTACTGGTTCTCATAAGGAGCAATTCATTACCTCCTCTTCAGCTATTTAAAAAATGTTGAAAATAGCGCGGCGCAGGAGGCCATTCCATCTATCGTGTTTGCACCTACAGAAAAAGAAAGCACCGAGCCGAATGCTGTTCAATTAGTTGTACGATAATTAACAATCAACATCGGACAACATTTACATATAGATTACTTTGAAGAGTTTGATAACTACTTAAGTGGTTAACATTAACAGATCAAACGCTAGGCATTAGATGCCCACCTTTCACATGGTGTTTCCTACAATGGTCCTTATCATCTTTCATGAGGTGTGAAACGCCTCTGGGTATTCGAAAATGTATGTAATCTGACATGCCCAATAGTTCCAAATGCAGAAATAAGTTGGTAAATCGACGTATGCATCATAAAGTTATTGCACAGGATCCTGAGTTTGTAAAGTTCCTTAGATTATTGTGTACACCATGTGAAAAGTAGAAGACTCCAGAGGTGGATTTCCAACATGCACATACAAACGTCATCCCATCCGGGTCAGCGATAATAGTGGTGATAGGTCAATGGCATTTGGTGGGAGTAAGAATTTGGGCAGGAGAATTGACGTTGACTCAATTTTATAGAAAGTGTAATGTGGAGAGTATTCTGGAGTAGTCAGATCTAGAGGCAGGGCAGAGTCTGATTTTTGTTTATCGAGTTGGAAATAGGGAGTCTTAATAGTGGCACAGGTGGTCAAAACTCATTTTGGGGTCAAATGTGACACTTTTTTTTAACAGTGGTTCATAGATCATAGAATCCCTACAGTGTGGAAACAGGCCCTTCGGCCCAACAAGTCCACACCGACCCTCAGAGCATCCCACCCAGACCCATCCCCATTTAACCCACCTAATCTACATATCCCTGAACACTATGGGGAATTTAGCATGGCCAATCCACCTAGCCTGCACATCTTTGGACTGTGGGAGGAAACCGGAGCACCCAGAGGAAACCCACCCAACACAGGATGAACGTGCAAACTCGACACAGATAGTTGCCGGAGGGTGGTAACTGAACCTGGGTCCTGGCGCTGTGAGGCAGCAGTGGTAACCACTGAGCCACCGTGCCGCCCCCAGAAATTTGGCATTGAGAGACTTGAAGCCAATGGCTGGGGAACAGTGTCTGTGGTAGGATCCAATGACAATGACTGCCACCTTACCAAAACTTATTTGGAGGAATTTCTGCACATCTAGTACTGGACGTCATTTAGACAGTTTGACAATTTAAAGTCTGTCAAGGCCACTGCCAGATCACACAAGTACAACAATGGTTTTGTGCCAGTGTTCTTGATTACTTGTGTGTAAATTTTAAATTCAACTTTTCACAATTATTTATCTACAATTTGCTAAATATATTGATTCACTGGTATTAAATCCTGTGTATAGGTATATTTTGTTACAACAAGCAGTTACCCCTTTGGCAATGTATTTAATTTTTAATGTTATATATATGTATTTACTGTGATATTAATATTCATTTGTCAGTCCTTCCAGTGCTAATTGACACTGCTGTCCCACCATGTTACATTCTTCTCTAGGTGACGCTACAGATAAGATTTTCATTCCTGTCCTTGATTTGGGTGTTTGCAGTTAGGTTTTAAGTTTTATTTTAAGTTGACTTTAAAGTTCTAATTCTATCCCTCCTGGCTTTTACTGCTGAGACAACTGGTAGCTTGAGGCCTCTTCTCTGGCCTCATATCTCCCATTTGGTTCCCAATGTCTTCTATTCTCTTTCCATTTCTCAGTCCCCCAGTTGCTCTATCCCAACTTTCTTACTCCTAAAAATGACCTCTCCAATGGCTCTTTCCTGGAGGTCTTCTGGATACCTTTTAACAGCTTCCTCATATAGAACTGGAAACTTGTCCCTTAAGTATTAAAGTGCTCATTTAGTTTTTATGTACCTGTTGACTATGTGTTACTTGCATCTGAGTGTTTTTTTTTGGTGGGGTTGGTATTGAGCTAACAGGAACTTTTAGAAGATGCTTTTGAAGGGAATTTGATAAACCAGGAGATGAGAATAGGGGTTTTCAGGCAGAGTCCCTGAAGGTGCAAACAAGGGTACATAAGGATTTGGAGTTAAGAAATACAGACAGAAGCCTTTACCAGGAAGGAAGATGTAAGTAGAAAAGATGATCCAAAAGACATAGAAGAAAGGGAGTAGGATTTGGTGAGTGGAAGGGGGAAGAAAGAGGAGCCATCAGATCTAGTGGTGGTTGGAGTGGGACTAAGAGTGGGAATGGATGAATAGAAGAAGCAGGGGGAATACTTCTAGATGACACCATAGGAAGTAGTGAGAAATGGGGCTGGAGATTGACGAATTGACGAGGAGAAAGAGAAAGGGAAGAAGAGTAAATAGATCATGGTGAAAGGGCTTTAAGGTGAAAGTGCAGAGGGAGAGAGCCTGACCTCAAGTATGAAACAGTAAGGAAATGGGAGAAGTGGGAATAGATGGTCATAGTGGTAATGCAGACAGATGGTCAAAAACTCATATTGGAAATCAAATGTGACATCAACTTTGTTTACAGACTTGGCAAGTTAGGTACAAAGTTCATTGAGATATCAGCCTAGGCATTAAAGAAATATGGATGACAGGGAGGCTAGATGTGGAAAGAAACAAGATAAATGAAGCGAGGAAGAATAGAGGATGGACCAGTAAACAGAAAGAGAGGAGGGATGTGGAAGGACAAAGACTGAACTGCAGGCAGAAGGAATAGAAGGATGGAGGCTGGATAAAGAAGAGGACATGGCAAGAAAAGACCTTGTAATTGCATGGGTCAGAATTATGTCTGTCCTCATTTGAGTACCACCTCTTTCCTAAGAGACTCACAGTCATATTTTGCAGTGCCATATCTTGTGCACCTGAGCCTCAGAATGCCCCCAGAAGGAGTTTTAAATTAAGTCAAATGGCTTTAACACTAAGGGGAATTAAAAAGTTCATCAAGGTATGCGTTGTAATGTTAGGAAGTGTTTGAAACAAAGCATTTGCTGATCATTACATTTTCCATTTACATACAATGTACAGAATTGTATAGCATTAACATGATTGAAAACAAGAAATTGGATGCATTAATATGCTGTCGATATTGATTGGCTTAATTTGATGAGTAGGGAAGGTGCCCATGACAGGCTGTCTGCAAATGCTTTTGAAGCCAGTAAAGCTTGATCTTCTGCTTCTCATTTGGGCTGTTTCCCTTTGCTAGGTGTAATATCCCAGCTATCTCTCCTTCTTCCTCATGGCAATCAATGTTCTTTCTCAGGGAAGAATTGGATGAGGCATTGAGCACAATCACAATACTACAGACTCTGCTGGATGTATACTGGAAACCTCCTCAATATTAATCTATGCTTTTAAATTTAACAATTAGCATTTACACTTCATGAGGTGCAGTAGGCACCTATACATGTGATCATTCACAATGGCAATGGATAACCATTCTCATCCAATGAACTAGAATAGTGGCAAATGCAGGAATTGCTCGACAAACTCAGCAGGTGTGTCAGTATCTGTGCAGAGAAGGCTGCGACAATGTTTCAAGTCTAGTGACTCTTCTTCAGAATTGTTCAGAAGTAGTTGCTTCAGAACTGAAGAAGAGTCACTGACGTGAAACATTAACTCTGTTTTCTCTCCACAGATGCCGACACACCTGCTGAATTTCTCCAGCAATTTCTCTTTTTGTTTCAGATCTTCAGCATCTGAATTCCAATGTTCTGGCTTAAATAAAACAATGAACTTACATAAAATGAATTAAGACAGCTGCCAGAAAATCTAGCATTTATATGAAACAATGTCACTTTCCCAACCGCCTCAGATGCACCTGTACCCATGGTCACTGCTGCTGACATTAGATCGTCCTTCTTGAGAATGAACCCATGGAAAGCAGCTGGCGGGAGTACACATAAACATCTTTAACTTCTGCTTACTACTGCTTCAAGAAGACCACCATCATTCTGGTGCCAAAGAAAAATCATGCAGTGTACCTCAACGACTACTACATAGTGGCTCTGACCTCCATAAATATGAAGTGCTTTGAGAGGTTAGTCATGGCTTATATCAACTCCAATCTATGAAATTGTCTTGATTCTTTGCAATTTGCCTATTGGTGCAACAAGTCCAAAACAGATGCCATCTTCCTGGCCCAACAGTCATCCCTGGAACATCTGGATAACATGGATACCTATGTCAGGCACCTACTTATTGACTACAGTTCCACCTTCAATACCATAATTCCAAACAAACTCATCCCTGAACTCTGAGACCTAGGTCTCAGCTCCTCCATCTGTAACTGGATCCTTGACTTCCTGACCCATAGACAGCAATCAATAAGAATAGACAACACCTCTTCCACCATTATCCTTGGCACTGGTACCCCACAAAACTGTGTACTCAGCCCTCTACTATACTCCTTCTAAACTCATGACTCTGTGACCAAATTCCACTCCAACTCTATTTGCAAGTTTGCTGATGACACCACTGTTTTAGGTCAGATCTCTAACAACAATGAGACAGAATATAGGAAAGAGATTGAGTGCTTAGCAGCAAGGTGTAAAGATAACAATCTCTTCATCACTATCAGCAAAATGAAGGAACTGGTCAGTGACTTCAGGAAGCAGAGGGAATCGGCACACCCCTGTTTGCATCAATGGTGCCGAGGTGGAGATGTCGAGAGTGTCAAGTTCCTGGGAGAGATGATCACCAACTATTTGTCCCGGTCCACCCATGTCGACATGCTGGTCAAGAAAGCACAACAACATCTCTACTTCCTCAGGAGGCTAAGGAAATTCAGCACATCCACAGGGTTCTTACCAATTTTTATAGATGCACCATAGAAAGCATTCTATCTGGGTGCAACACAGCATGGTATGGCATCTGCTCTTCCCAAGACCGCAAGAAACTACAGAGTCGTGAATACAGCCCAGTCCATCACGCAAACCAAGCCTCCCATCCACTGACTCGATCTATACTTCCTGCTGCCTCAGAAAAGCAACCAATATAATCAAAGACCCTTCCCAGCCCAGTTATACTCTATTCCACCCTCTTCCGTCAGGCAGAAGATATAAAAGTTTGAAAATACATACAAATAGATTCAAGAACAGCTTCTTCCCTGCTGTTGTCTGACTTTTGAGCAGACCTTTCAAATGTTAATTCTGATCTCTCTCTCTGCAGCTTCTTTGTGGCTGTAACACATATTCTGCACTCTGTTCTGCTAACCTGATGCACTTTGTACAGTACAATCTTCCTATGTAACATGCAAAACACTTTTCACTGTTTCTTGGTACATGTGACAACAATCAAACATGTGAATAATTTGGTAGTTACATTCCAGCCTCACATTCAACAAGTGGAAGCCCTAACAGATTAATTAATTTTGAAAATAGATAGGCTGTGCTCAGGCTGACACATAAGAAGAATCTATAAGGATTCTACTTCAGAAATTCAGCAAGTGGCATGTATGTGGTCCTCAGCTGCTACTTGTGCAGTTATCACAGAGGTCATTTTTCTAAAACAGCAAGAAGCCAACAAAGCTTGCATTCCTTCCTGAAACTCAAGGATTATTTTTTGTAGATGATAGCATCGTAGCAATTTACAGCAAAACTTGAACTCATATATGAAGGAATGAGGTTACATGTGATCTGGGCATTGCCATACTATGCTTTTCTATTAAGTTGAGGGGGTTAATAGTAGAATCTATTATGATACACAGGTGACATTTATGCAGTGTGCACTTAGCGGCAATATAAAACTATGAAGTCCTATCAAATTCGTGACTTATATTTATCCTGAAGGCTAGGTACCCAGATGTTACCCAGGTTAACAATACATCAATCTGGCTTCTTGAAATGAGCTTGCAGTACAAATGTTGATTGCAATTTCATTTTCTGTCACTGGCAGAGCTATTTACATACATGATTGTAATTGCAGGTCCTCTCGTGTCTCTTTAAGGAATCACACTCTTCGAACAGAATACTCCTTATTAAGGTCTTCATTGATCTGGAATGTAACTTTACAGCACTGTTAAATGAGGTTTAGAAAAAGCTCATGGATTCTGGTTTTGCCATTCAGTTAATTGGTTTACTTTGAACTTTTTGTTTCTTTTTACACAATTTGCTTCTCCTCCAAGCTCAGTGTCAACTGTAATCTTAGATGTATAACTCTATTCTTCATAAAAGTCATTGATAGATATGGTGAATAGTTTAGATCCCAGTAGGAATTACAGGGAAAGATTCCACAAGAGTACATGCCTTTTATTCCTGTGCTCTAACTCCTACCTCACAACAAACTTGCCATCTTAAATCATGGAAAAACAAAAGTAAAACAGGGAACTGTAGCTCATGGTTATGCTACTGAACCTGGTCTAATAATTGACGAACATGGCTTCACATCCCAACATGGCAGCTGGGGAACTCAGATTTAGTCAATTAAATAAATTGAATGAAAATCAAATATTAGTGATTATCCAACCCTGGGATTATTGTATCTCGTTCATTAATGTCTTTCAGGGAAGAAAACTTGCATTTCTTATCTTATCTGAGTTCTGACTACATTAACACTAAAATAACGTTGACTTTCAAACCACCTTCTGAGGTGGCCTACTAAGTCATTCTGCTCTGCTGTAGGCAAATAGCAGCAGCAAGATTGCATTCTCCAACAATCAGTAACTTCTTGGCCAACTCATTCTTCATTCTATCATTACCATAATTTCTGGGAAAATCCTGGTTCACCAAGGAGTATAGAAGAACACTAGAAATACCTAAAAGAGGGTACCAACCAGGTAAAATTACAACACAGAACAACATGCTCACCTCAACTCACTTACCACTCTATACCTTACCTACCTGTCACCCTGCCACTATTTCCATCTACTACTGTATACACTTGCTACTCTAACCACCTGCCACCTTACCACTCCACCACATGGCAACCTGCTCACTTGCCACCCTATCCATCTATGATCTTACCCATGTTGGAAACTCAGTTTAAGATAATGTTGCAAATAATCTGGTTCAGCCTTGGACAATGGTCCTGAAGAGGAATGGGTAGAGAATCAATAGCTAGAGCACAGACATGTGGCTGAAGACAATGGCTTTGATCCTTCCACTATTTAATTGGAGAGAATGCTGTAAATCTAATGCTGAATACTGGCCAAATCCAAGTCCTGAAGAAGGGTAATACCCGAAACATTGACTGCTCCTTTCCACCAGGTGCTGCCTGGATTGCTGTGTTCTTCCATCCTCCTGTTTGTCTACCTTGGATTCCAGCATCTGCAATTTTTTTTTTGTCTCTAACTAATGCCTTTCCTCCATTGTCCATCTGATGGGGACTGCCATTGCTGTGTTCCATTCTCACCTACCTGATCACAGCCACAGAGAATTGCCTTCAATTTCTTCTCATTTGGCTCCCATGCCATTACCTCTGGATTCCCAGAGGGTCTATTCTTGGCCTCCATCCATTTCTTAGCCCTCCACCACATGATGAGAAAACAAAGATATTAAAAAAAGAACCGCGGATTATTGACTCATTGATTGTCATGTGTACCGAAGTACAGTGAAAAGCTTTGTTTACAAGTACAGGCAGATCACTGTAAACAAGGATGTACAGATCAGAGGTTGTAAATAGTCTTAGAGGCATACAGGTCACATTGCACAGGGCGCTAGGCATGATCAACATTAGCAAGATCAGCATTATTTGAGGCTAGGGAGTCTATTCAATCAGTCTAATAACAGCTGAGAAAAGCTGTTCCTGAACCTGCTGGTGCGTGCATTCAGGCTTCTGTATCTTCTGCCTGACGGAAGAGGTTGTAGGGCATCATTACCGGGGTGCAATGGGTCTTTGCTGTTGTTGGCAGCTTTTCCATGGCAACAAACCGTGTAGATGGAATCCATGCATAGAAGTCTGGCTTCCGTGATGGTCTGGGCTGTGCACACCACCTTCCGTAGTTTCTTATGGTTCTGGGAAGAGCAGTTGCCATACCAGGCTGTTATGCATCCAGACAGTATGCTTTCAATGGTGCATCTAAAGAAGTTGGTGAGGGTCCTCATGGACATGCCAAATTTCCATACCTGCCTGAGGAAGAAGAGGCATTCTTGTGCCTTCTTGACCATTGCATCTACGTGGGAAGTCCAGGACAGGTTGTCGGTTATCGTCACTCTGAGGAACTTGATGCTCTCCACCCTCTCAACCTCGGTTCCATTGATGTGGATAGGGGTGTATTCTCCTCCTTTCTTTCTAAAATCAATGATCGGTTATTTAGTTTTGCTGACATTGAGAGAGAGGTTGTTCTCATTGCACCACATCACCAAGCCCTTTATCTCCCTTCTGTATTTTGACTCATCGTTGTCAGATATCCGTCCTACTACACTGGTGTCGTCAGCGAACTTGTAGATGGCGTTTGCTCGTAATTTGGCAACACAGTCTTGGGTGTACAGGGAGTACTTTAGGGGGCTAAGGACACATCCTTGGGTGGCTCCAGTGTTGAGTGTTATTGTGGAGGAGGTGCAGTTACCTATCGTCACTGATTGTGTTTTTAGTCAAAAAGCTGAGGATCCAATTGCAGAGGGTGGAGCCAAGACCAAGGTCACGCAGTTTTGAGATCAGTCTGGAGGGGATAATGGTGTTGAGTGCTTGGCCAGGAACACCATCCGGGCCCATCGCTTTCCTTGGGTTGACTCCCAGGAAGACTGATCTGACATCTGAAGTGGTGACTGAGAGAACAGGTGTGTCTAGGGCTGTTGGGGCAGGCGTCAATGCACCGCTGGCATTCTGCTAAAACTGAGCATAGAATAGAGTATCCTTTATTGTAACATGTGCTCCAGTACAGAAGTACAGGAGTACTGTGAAAAGTTTTTACAATGGCTGGCTTTAATAGCGCCATCTTAGGTACAAGTACCTAGGTACGAATCTTACAGAGTAAAAAAAATGTAATGTTGTTACAGAGTAAAAAGGAATATAGATTAGCATGAAACAGTGAAAAACTCCAGAATGATAATAAGTGGCCATATGTACTTAAGTTCCAGTCCATGCCTGCAGGCCCCAGAGCACTAGGCCACGTGCCGGCCTCCATCCAGGACTCGAACCGCCACTGCTCCGGGAATTGCCCAATCGCTCCGCCGCAGGACATGGCCGGTTCACTCCATTCCTCAACTTCACTGTCCAGGGAGGGTGATGGGGAGAAGTAAAGAAAAGCTACGAAGAGGAGAAAAAAGGGAAAGCGAAAGGGACTAGAGAGCAGAGGAGCTGCAACCGGCGCGTCCTACTCTGCCACCATGTTGACAGAAAAAAAACATTGAGCGTGTCAGGGAGAGATGTGTCTTTGTCTGCTATCTTGCTTAGCTTCATTATGTATCCCATAATGCTGTTCAGGCCTTTCCATAGGTGGCAGCAGTCTGTTTAGTAGGTTTGGGCATTTAACTTGGTCTGGTACTGCTTCTTGGCATCCCCGATGGCTTTGCTGAGGACATATCTGGATTTCCTGTATTGGTCTACCTCATCCAACTTGAATGCTGCATGTCTGGTCTTCAGTAGGGATGCTGGAGATATGAAACAAAAACAGAAATTGCTGGAGAAACTCAGCAGGTCTGGTAGCATCTGTAGAAAGAAAGCAGAGTTAACGTTTCTAATCTGGTGACTCATTAAAACCGACAAGATCGGTTTCCACATTAAACAAAACAAAGAACAGCAGGTGTCGAAGATCTCAATCACACAAAAACAGAAATTGCTGGAGAAACTCAACTGTTCTGCTGAGGCCTCCAGGCCTGCTGAGTTTCTCCAGCAAATAATATCTTATCCTTTTTCTGTCCATGAATGTTGATGACACCCAGCTCAATGCCAGCACCACACCACATCGGGGAAACCAAGCGGAGGCTTAGAGACCACTTTGTGGAGCACCTTCGCTCGGTTTGTGACAAATGACAACACCTCCCAGTTGTGAACCACTTCAACTCCCCCTCCCACTCCTTGAATGACATGTCCATCCTGGGCCTCCTCCAATGCCACAACAATGCCACCCAAAGGTTGCAAGAACACCTCATATTCCGCCTGGGAACCCTGCAGCCCAATGTGGACTCCACAAGCTTCAAAATCTCCCATCCTCATCCCAAGACCAGCCCCTCTCGTTCCCACCTCCTTGACCTGTCCGTCTTTTCTCCCACCTGTCTGCTCCTCCCACCTCACTGACCAACCTCCACCCCCACTTCCTACCTACTAGCCTCATCCCTGCCTCCTTGACCTGTCTGTCTTCCCTCCCACCTACCCACCCCTCCCTCCTCACTGACCAACCCCCATCCCAACCTACACTCACCTTTACTGGCTCCATCCCCACCCCCTTGACCTGTCTGTCTTCTCTCCACCTATCTGCTCCTCTATCCACCTTCCATCATCACCTCCCCCTCTCTGTATTTATTTCAGAGCCCCCTTCCCCTCCCCCATTTCTGAAGAAGGGTCCAGATCCGAAATGTCGGCTTTCCTGCTTCTCTGATGCTGCCTGGCCTGCTGTGTTCATCCAGCTCTACACCTTGTTACACCTTTCGAATTCTTCATTCACTCTGATTTGTCGGGCTGATCGCCCCATTCAGTACTGGACGAGCAGAAATTTTCTTCGTCACTTCAATGTCATGCGTTTTCGCTTTGTGATGTGTTTATCACTAGAAAAGGCCTCTCTGTAATAACAAGGTGCAGAGCTGGATGAACACAGTAGGCCAAGCAGCATCATAGGAGCAG